CCCCTCCCCCAGCCGCTGCGACTGGCTGCGACTGCGTCAATGACGCCTATTTCAAAGGCGGCTTTCAAAACCATTGGGAACGCAATCGCGTTGGCTATCCTCCCCGCCCAAATTCCCTCGTAGCCATCGTCTTCTACTTCTTCGTTTGGTTTAAAATTAGGGTTAGAGTTAGGGTTGAGGGATTCTTCAAGAGGATTGGTTATGTCCATTTTCTTTTCGCTCTTGTTGTTTGAGCTTTGGTCTTTGCTCCTTTCTATAGAAAAAAAAAACTAAGGCATGCAAGTGAGAAAAATACTACAAAATGGGACAAGTGTTGTTGATGTGTCAATCATGCATCACCTCGATTTATTTTTAATAGATTTGACATTATATGATGCATGCATGCATACATTAACGAAAGATTTAGGTATCATATTTTTAATGTTATGCATCCAAGTTGTTGATTTTACACGGAACCTATGGTTTTTTTTCGTTGAAAAATAGTGAAATATATGATATATATGATTTAAAGCTATGGTGAAAATTCATATATCATGTACATAATATGGCTATTAATTTTGTGGATTTATGTGAGAATAGAAATAGTTTGTGATTTTTTTTAATGGATTTTATGTCGTATATTTAACATCTCACTGCCCGGGAACACTTGCAAATTTCCGGTTTTGGACCCACAAGTAGATGAGTGGTTAGAAACAAGAAGCAATTTCAATAATACATATTTTATTTTATTTTCTCAATAAAAAACAAATATTAACGAATCACACGAACGATTCCATTAAAAAAAAAAAAATCTTCACGATTATGGCATCCGAGGACACTCACAAACGTATCTCATTCCACATGCTCGTAAATTACATTAACTAAGTGTTTCAAGTTTCATCAAACCTAGTTCTCATATCCATAAATATGCAAATAATTAGTTCTTCCGATTTTTTTTAAAAGAAATTGGAAATTGTTTTCGACCGTCAAATATTCCCCTATAATGATCTAAAGATCATGCGGTTCGATCACATGGATTATCTCAGAATCTTTTGAAAAATGCAGTTAAACAGAAGACCCGTAAACTTTCGGATTATAAAAAAAACTTCCCGTATAATATACACCAATTTCGACCTCCATCAGGTAGATAGAGTGAGGCTATTGTTTTGGAGTTAAAGGGCAAATCAATTGACCGTCAACGTTTTTATTACATTTCTTGTGGACACATAAAGATAAGAGAACAAAATGATACCAAAGAGAATGTGAAAAATGATTGGAAAAACGGGAGAATACACACAATCTTTTATTTCTTCAAGCAAATTCCTTCTTGTGAAATTCGATAACCCAACAGTAGTAAGCGCGGCAGACAAATTCGCAACGGGCGAAACCCGACCTCGTAGCCAAATCTTCAAACTCGGATCTCGTCCTCTCTTTTCCTCCATCAAGTGCCAACATTGTCACGTCCAAGTCCGAGCCGAAGTTCGAGTATTCGCCTCCACCCTCTGGATTTGTCGGAATGATCGTTTCTACGACGATCATTTTCCCTTTATCCGGCAGCGATTTCCAACAGTTTTTAAGAATCTTTATACAGTCATCGTCGTTCCAATCATGGACCAACCGCTGTATAGATTAATTTTTGTTGAGTTCACAACGTTAGATTATAGAATAAGTTTCTTTATGGATACTTCGTCTACAGCTATATATATAATTTGTAGTTAAAAGCTAACAAATTAAACTTACTTTCATAATAATGGCATCTCCTTTCGGGACTTCAACAAACATATCCCCGGCCACATGTTCCACACCTGCGACCGACCAATATATATATATTATCCGATTCGAAAAGTAGGATATGTAGAAGGTGAGGCAATTCTTCTAGCTCAATTTACGTCTTGTAATCGTGCATATGAGATGAAAAATTGAAAAATACATTATCGAATTTAGTAAAAAAAAAAAATTACCATGGTAAGAAGGAGCCTTTGCTATGACATCGGGCAAGTCGAAATTGATACCCTTGATACGAGGATACTTTGAGGTGACGAGAGCAATGGAAGTGCCATCAGATCCTCCCACATCGACCAGAACGTTCACATTCTCGAATCCCCTGTAAACTTCTAGAAGCCTCTTCATGATCATGGTGGAATGCTCCGCCATGGCTCTGTGGAACAGCTCGTGGAAGGGTTCGTTCCTTCTCAAGTATTCGTACAGGCTCATATCATGGGCACGCCTAAATGGCTCGGTTCCATCCAATATCAAATCCTTCATATGAGACCTGTGAACGTGTAACATCAATATAATTGATCAAGAATCGATACCTATATATGGTATACAAGGGTTTTTGTACGTGAATATGAAATAAACAGGAGATGAAAAAGTAAAAGCAGAGAGAGAGAGAGTTACCACATCTTGATGAAGACGTCGCTATGTGTCACAAGGAACAACGGTACTACAGAACCGGAGTCTTGGTTATTGTTGGACAGAAAGAACCGGCAAATCGGTTTGGTAGCGTAAACCGTCTCGGTTTCTCCGGTACGACCGTTCTCTCTGGCCTGAACCGTAACCATGTCGTAGCTAGCGAGCAAGCGAAGCATGCGGTCCAACAACACGGGAGCATGTGGGTTGGTAGGCTTGATCGGAAGGCGGCGCGCTATCTCGGAAGGCGAGACCCACGCGCCTTCACCTGCTGACGAGCGGTTTTCAAAACCATGGGGAACGCAATCGCGCGCGTTGGTTATCCTCCCGGCCCTAATGCCCACCTCGTCATCATCTTCTTCTATTTTTTTGTTATTCCCGTTAATGATAGGGTTAGGTTTATGGTTTAGCGATGATTCTTTGTTTCCATTAAGAGTAAAATTAGGGTTAGGGTTTAGGGATGGCTCAAGAACATTGATGATGTCCATTTTTTTTCGCTTAATGGAAATCGGACTAAATGAAAAGGGTAATGAAATATAGTAAATATGTTTGTGTTTGTGGTTTGAGCTTTGATCTTCGCTCCTTTTTATAGACAAAAAAAAAAAAGACGTAGGCGTAGGAAAATGTTCTTTATAAAAAAAAAAAGAGAGAAAGGGCAAATGTTATTCACGTGTCATCAATGCATGCATTCCGTTGCTCCATATATGGCAAATGCATATTGAAGTGATGTCCATGTTGATATATTGTTGCATGTACCGTTCGTTTTTTTAATATTTTCTTTCAAGATTAGTTTATAGAAATTTCGAAAAACGAATCTTGAAGATGGAATGTCTTCATGGTTGAGATGAAACATCGTAAAGCATTTCACTCCCTTCAATATCGGTTTCATATCAAATAATAAATTTTGTTAAATGGTTTTTCGTATCAAATAATAATAGGAACAATATCCTTAGGTAATAATGTTCTAATTTTGTATATATTATATAGATTGCTTAGAAATAGAAATAGATTATTATTATTATTATTATTATTATTATTATTATTATTATAATAATAAAATCTCCCTTCCAAAAGCACTATAAAAAACACTGAAAAGTCACGAGCATTTACACGCACGTTCGCCTTTTTGGACCACTAAGTAGGTAAGTGACATTAAAAATAGATATTCAAGTTCCATAAATATTAGGGAAAATGATATTTTTCACCGACAATATAAAATGTGATTTTTTTTTACACAAACTTTTAATTTAACAAAAACCTACAGAAAATTATTAAATATCTCAAATCGATACACGAACTACTCAATTTTACTGCAATTTTCTACACAATTCGAAAACGGTGTTAAGTGTCCGTTAACATCTGACGTGGTATGCCACGGAAAATTTTTTCACATCAGCATGTCACGTCAGATTAAAAAAAAACAACAAAAAATCCCAAAAAATTTAAAAAAAAAGTTAAAAAAATAAAAAAAAGAAAAATATATATATATATTCATATCTATATACAAATATTCATACATATGTATATGTATGTATTTGTTTTTTGTATGTATGTATATATATGCATATGTATAATATATATTCATATATACATGTATATGTATTTATATATGTATATGTATATATATAAATATATTTGTATATATATATGCATATATATTTGTATAGATGTATGTATATATATGTGTATATTTTTTATTTTGTATTTATATATATATATATGTATTTTTTTATTTTCGATTTTTTTTTTTAAATCTAACGTGGCATGTTGATTTGTCAAAAACTTTTCACGTGACATGTCACGTCAGCCGCCACGTGGCGTACCACATCAGGTGTTAACGGATGCTTAATACCGTTTTTTTATTGTGTATGAAATTGCAGTAAAATTGAGTAGTTCGTGTATCGATTTGGGATATTTGATAATTTAATGTAAGATTTTGTCAAATTAAAAGTTCGTGTAGGAAAAAATCATATTTTATAAAATCCGTGTATCTAAATATTAAAATTGAAAAAGAAAATCGAGAAGTAAAAGAAAAATAAATTTCTCGGTTTCATTTTTCCTTATTGATTATAGAGCAAGTCGAGAACTATGTGAAAATCATCTAAATAATTAATATTTCCTCCATTTAATTTTATATGACGTTTTAAAATAGTTTTTGTTTTAAAATGAAAAATATTTTTATATTTTATATACTTTTTTATATATTTTTTTCCATCATAGTTAATAAAAAATAATAATATTTAAAAAATACACTAAGTAAAGAGAATTTTTAGGAAAAATATTTTTTGTAACGTATATGTTTAAAGCTAAAACGATATTTAGAACTGACTAGTATTATCCAAATTAGTGTGTACGTATATACACACACAAAATGGACATGGAAGTATCGTAAACTTAGTGTTTCGTTTTCTATATGTTTTTTGGTGAACGTTTCGTTTTCTATATAGATTTGCATAGTTATTATTATTATTATTATTATTATTATTATTATTATTATTATTATTATTATTATTATTATTATTATTATTATTATTATTATTATTATTATTATTATTATTGGCTGCACATGCATATGAATCTACCGACACTCAAGTCGTTTTAGGCCGGGTGATGCGAACATGCATGACCATTAACGAACATTGCGCCTTTTTCCATATTTCCATTTGGCCTTTTCCACATAATTCCATCTCTAGTTATTTATGGTAGGACCCGAAAATGAAAGAAAAAAACAGACACCATTCATTTCTCACGCCTTTAATAACCAACCTTTTATATATATTTATATATATATAGTGCGAAATTATGTGGGCCAAATTAATTATTTTTTTTGGAAAAAAAACAAATATGAGAGTGTCCGAAAAGAAAAAGACAACTCTTGCAATAGCGGGCTTGAATAAAGCCGGTTGATATTATATATACTATTTTTATGAGCAATGAACCCTTTTGTAAAATGCATAAGAAATTTGAAACTTATATAAGTGATTCCACACTTCATTCAAACTCCGCCATTTTTTATTATGACACTTTACACACGGACAAGGCAGCTTTTCGCTCTCCAAATACGACTGATTTGACGTGGCAAACGACATAAAATTTTGCAACCCTTCTTCATATTGCTTTGAAATTTGATTCGTAATAGAATCAATTCTTTCATACATCCATTGTCGAGAATAAAAAGACATTTTTTTGTCACTTTCTATTTTTTTTTTTCCTTTTGCCATGGAGACTCCCTCGCGTGATTGTTAAATAGATTTGGAACGTGCGACAGAAATGCGATGGAAAGCGACGGACTCCACATATTACGACGGACGCACAACGGAATGCGACGGAATTAGGTCAAAACGAATAAAACGTGTTTAACTACCTGCGACGCACCAAATCCGTCGCAGTCCCGACGGAAATGTCTGTCCCCATCCGTCGCTATTTCTGTGCGACGCAATATATCCGTCCCAATCCGTCGCACACTTTTCCGACGAAAGTTCGGTCGCAATCCGTCTGACAAAATTACCGACGGAAATTTCCGTCGGTTGTTGTCGAAATGTGTCGACGGATTGCGCGACGGCTTACGACTGATGCAAATCCGTCCCATATCCGTCGTTGTCCGTCGCATATATCTAAAGCGACGGAATTTCCGTCGCAACTTCCGTCGGTAAATACAGTTTTTCTTGTAGTATAATCCAGAAAAATTACAAACAAATACATTAATTTGTTCAAATCTTACCAATAAATAAATATATGAATTTACTGTTTTTGTAAGATTTGAACAAGTAATTATTTAGAAAATAAAAAATTATATATTTATTGGTAAGATTCGAACATATATTTATTTGTAACGCTCTAAATACTCCTAAACATTTATTTCTAAACTCATTTTTCTTCTCTTTTTCGATATTTACAAATCTTCCATATTTCCAAACCTCGTAATAAATGCATGAATATATAGGTATAAGAGCAATTGCAAAACGATATATTTTTTATGAGATAAAAAATTCATATATTTATTGGTATTTATTTAAAATTTTCCCTGTATAATTCGCCCTCGACAACCAACGAGATCATATAAAACGAAATAACATAAACACAGATCATTGCGCGCGCGCGCGCGCGCACACACACACACACACACATATATATATATATATTCTTCCCCTTTATTCTTCAAGCATAGCTTTTAGTAAACATAACATGTGTTCTTCAAATTCAAGAGATTAATGGCTATTTGTGGAATTCGATAACCCAACAATAATAAGCAGAGCAGATGAATTCGCAACGGCTAAAACCCGAAATCATCTTGATATCACTTTTTTGCTGGTCGTCATATCGCACAGCGTCAGTACCAACATGTCCAAGTCGAACCCGAAGTTTGAGTATTCGCCTCCGCCCTCGGGATTCGTCGGGATGATCGTCTCCACGATGATCACTTTCCCATTGTCCGGGAGCGATTTCCAACAGTTTTTAAGAATCTCTATGCATTTCTCGTCGTTCCATCCATGGATTGATCTCTATCGATATATATATATATATATATATATATATATATTAATTTATAATGTTAGATTATAGTGTACGTATAGGCTCTTCGTGAATACATACTTTTGCCTAGATATGTAATTTGTAAACTTACTTTGGTGAAGATGGCATCTCCTTTGGGGATTTCGACAAACATATCTCCGGCCACATGTTCCACACCTGCGACCCACATTGATTTATTACCCGACACAAACACACTATGATATCTGTAACATAAGGCATTAATTTCTTTCTTACGACCATACTATATATTAATTAATTAATAAAATATATTACGTGCAGACTATATACGAAATGTAACATCAGATATCATTTATTAAATACGGTACCGGGATAGGAAGGAGCCTTTGCTATGATACCGGGCAAGTCGAAATTGATACCCTTAATATGGCAAGTCGAAATTGATACCCTTCATACGAGGATACTTTGAGGTGACGAGAGCAATGGAAGTGCCATCAGATCCTCCCACATCGACCAGAACGTTCACACCTTCGAATCCTCTGTAAACTTCTAGAAGCCTCTTCATGATCATGGTGGAATGTTCTGCCATGGCTCTGTGGAAGAGCTCGTGGAAGGGTTCGTTCCTCCTCAAGTATTCGTAGAGGCTCACGCCATGGGCGCGTGTAAACGGGTCTGTTCCATCCAATATCAAATCCTTCAAATGAGACCTGTGGACGTATAAAGTGATTATGAGACTTGTCTATTTTTACGTGCATGAGGTAAAAAAAAAAAGTAAAAGTAAATAATAGGAGAGAGTTACCACATCTTGATAAAGACGTCGCTATGTGTCACAAGGAACAATGGGACAACAGAACCCGAGTCTTGGTTATTGTTTTTCAGAAAGAACCGACAAATGGGTTTGATTGCGTAGACCGACTCGGTTTCTCCGGTCTGAACCGTGCGGCATTTCACGATGTCATGGCTAGCGAGTAAACGAAGCATGCGGTCCAGCAACACGGGGGCTTGTGGATTGGTAGGCTTGGTCGGAAGCCGGCGCGCTATCTCGGAAGGTGAGAGCCACGCGCCTTCACCGGCCGCTGCGATTGCGTCGATGACGCCTATTTCAAAGGCGGCTTTCAAAACCATTGGGAACGCAACCGCGTTGGCTATCCTCCCCGCCCGAATTCCCTCGTAGCCATCATCTTCTACTTCTTCGTTTGGTTTAAAACTAGGGTTAGGGTTAGGGTTGGGGTTAGGGCTGAGGGATTTTTCAAGAAGATTGGTTATGTCCATTTCCTTTTTCATTCTTGTTGTTTGAGCTTTGATCTTTGGTCCTTTTTATAGAACCCCCCCCCCCCCAAAAAAAAAAAACAAAAAAAACAAATTTTACACGGAACTATGTTTCTTTTTTCCTGTTTAAAAACACTGAATTGTATGATTAAAAAATTACTCTAAAAATTCATATATTATGTGTGGGATATATAATGTAAGAATAGAAATAGTTTTTGATATTTTTTTTAATCGTCAGTGTAGATAACATCTCGCTGTCCGGGGGCGGGACGGCTTGCAAAGCCGACAGAAACACGTGTGGTGGTTAGAAACAACAAGCAATTTCAATACAAAACTCAGAGAGAGTTCGATTCTATTGGTGGAGAGGGATGTAATTTCTAGATCAAAATGATCTATATACAAAGGCTGATCTCAGGTCTAAGATGGATGTAGTCAGGCCAAAAACACGGACTGGTTATAAAAAAAATTTCAATAGAAAACCTTAATTTATGTATATTTACAAATATACCCCTGTACTGGTTTGAGTTGAATTGCAATTATTATTAGGGGTGAACAATTCGGTTCGGAAACAGTTCGGTTCGGTTCAGAAAATACCGAACGGTATTTCGGTATTTTTATTTTTTAATTAAAATATTTAATATTTATAGTTAATTATGATATTTACTAATATTAAGAGTTTGTTTGCGTAATACATTGAGATTAATGTTGAATTTTTTCTAAGTTTACAAGTTCAAAATTGTTATTTTGTTGTATAAAATTATTATGTTGGATCTCTTTACTTTTATATTATATGAATTATAAATATATCATGAATCGTCCCGAACCGTTTTTATTTCGGTTCTTATTTGGTATTTATTTATTAATATTGTATCGTCTCGAACCGTCATAATACCAAACTGACCCGAACCGAATAATATACGGTATTAATTTGGTACAAATTTTATAATACTGAATAAACCGTTCTCGAACCAAACCGTTAAATTCTAAACCGAATCCCGAAACGTCCACCCCTAATTATTACCATCTTACCAGAAGGGTATTTTGGGAACCATTTTTTCTTTTTCTTTTTTTGTTAATGGGCCGAGCCCAAGCTCAAATAATCTCTCTAACTCTGGTAAACAAAATATCTATTGGCGTTGTTAATGGTGAACAGATATCGTAATTGAGCTATTGTGTCATTCACCCCAATGATTAATGGGCCTAACCCAGTAAAATAATATCTAAACAAGAAAATATGATTAAAAAAATGTGTATTGGGCCTTATGAAATGGTGAACAGAGTTCGTAATTGTATTAATGGGCCTTACACAATTGTTAATGGGCCGAGGTCAGTACTCAAATCATCCCTCTCTCAATATTGTAACGGGAAACAAGAGAGAGAAACTGGAGACTAGTGTTCTTTTTGCCTCTTCTCTTTGGTCTTGTTTGTAACGTTAAAATTCCCTACCAATGTCTTCCTTCCGATCTTGATCGCTCCCCATTTCGATCAGAAAAACCCTAATTTATTTGATTAAACCCTAATCTGCTTCTCGGGGACTGTCAGATCTGGTTTTCTTGACGTCCTTGTGCTTTGGATTTGCTGATCCGACCCTTCTCTGATTTCAGGTAATGCATTTCATGTTTCGTTATTTCTGAATTTGGTTCTTTTTGGGTTCTTCAGTACACTGATTGGAAATTGCCGCGTCTTTATGTGCAAGGATGGATTTTTCTTTTGTGTTTAATTGCATCTGGTGATGGTGATCATTGATTGATATTTTCTCATTGAATTGGTAGATTTGGTACTGTACGGAAGATCCCAGATTGTTGAGGACGGTTTAGGGTTTGATTTCGATTTTGTTATCAAGCCATGGCTACTCATTTTCCTCCAGGGGCTCCCAGACCCAACACTCAGCAAGTGCCCCCACCATCGAATTACTTCCCAGGCTCACAGGGGAACCCGAATCCGAACGAGTTAACGGATAATATGCAGAATTTGAGCATTAATCGGCCTCCTCCTCCGATGCCCGGTTCAGGTTCTAGGACACCTCCTCCTTTTGCCCCGTCCTCGCAGGCTTTTCCTCTACAAGGCCCTTCCTTTGGCGGGCCTTCTACAATGTCTCGGCCTGGACCACCTCCAGCTGCGTTGGCTAGACCAGGCGGTCCCCCTTCCGTGTCCCAACCGACAGGGTTTCCCTCAAATTCTCCGTTAGGCAGAGCCATCATACCCCCTGTTGGCCAGCAGCCACTTGGTGTCAGACCGGCTGGACTTGGTGCTCTCCCTGCTGCTCCTTCGGGCGGTTTCCCAGTTTCTGGTCCAGTGGGTGGAAAAGCTGGAGCTCCTTTTCCTGGAGCACGCCCGAGTGCATTTGGTTCCCCTCTGCCTTTGGGATCTGGTATGCCTGTGCCTCCTCCCTCAGGCATGCTCGGCGGTCCAGTCAGTAGTGGGCCTCCAATGGTGGGCTCAGGGCCATTTCCTAGGGGACCTCAGTACCCTCCTGCTGTGGTTACTCCACAGTCACCCTATTCACAGCCTCCTGCAGCATCTTTCTCCCAGGCTCGCCCTCTTTCAGGGAGTTCACCGCTAACTGCACCTCCTGGTATGGCTCCACCAGCAACTTTTCCTGGGGCACCTCATAACAGGCCAGCGGTATCTGGCTTGCCCTATGGAGCACCACTCCAGCAGGTGCATACACAAAATTAGTTGGTATTGTTGATATCTTACTTGTGTTGATGAGATTTTTATTGTTAAGGTAGGGAAACATGCTATGCTTTTGTTGGAAGTCCATAAGTTTTTGTGGATGTATGCATTTTCAGAAGGGAACTATATTGATTGATTGAAGATATACTATCTCCTTAATTATGAAGTGTACAAAATAGGACTAGTTGTGTAATAATCTACTTGTAATGAATTATTTATGGTAAATTTTAGTAATTTTGAATGTCAAAAAGTATTTCATTGGTGCCTACTGAGAATATAATGCTTTAAAAGCTAATGATGGTGAAGACTTTGTTGAGTATTTTACTGCCCTTTTATTCGCTTTGTATATAAGTGCCTTTTCTAAATTGTGGGCTTTCTTTTGTTTTTGGAAATGGAGCAGTTTCACTTGTTATTTTGCATTTGCGTGCTGGACTAATTGTTTTGACACTTGTGTATTAGTAGGTCGCTCCTGCTGCTGGTGTTTCTGGTCCAATGCAACCACCAATAAGGTATGGTATGGGTCCATTACCGAATCAATCAATGACCACTATATCCCCGGCAATGGGTCAACCTGGGACCTCTCTCCCAGGTCCTTCGAAGATCGATCCTAATCAGATTCCAAGGCCCGGTCCAAGCAGCCGTCCGATCATCTATGAAACTCGCCAGGGAAATCAGGCTAATTCTCCCCCGGTATGTATGTCTTATTAGAAACACAGATGTTAGACATTGCTTGTAGATGCTAGATAATATGTGGATGATTTTAGAACTTATGTATGTTTGCTATGAATATCTTCTGCCTTTCTTTTGAAGCCTGCTACCAGTGATTACATTGCTAGGGACACGGGAAACTGCAGCCCACGTTACATGAGATGTACAATCAATCAGGTAACAGCAAAGTGTATGACGCCTTTCTCTGCATTGAGTGCTGATTGCCTGTGCTCTTTGATCCTCAGGATATTGATATCACTTTTTTGCTGGTCGTCATAATAGATCCCTTGTACAGTTGATCTTCTATCTACTTCTGGAATGCAACTGGCATTGACTGTCCAACCGCTGGCACTTCCTCATCCTTCAGAAGAGCCTATCCAAGTAATATATAAAACCTTCTTGTGTAGCATTTTCTTATTTTCTTCACGCATCTGTGCAGTTGGTGTTTACAATATTATCTCGTTTGATTTCTCCTCTTTTTTGTTTTTGTCTTTTGAATCATGTAATACTAGTGTTTTCATTGGTTCTAGTGAAGTACAGAACTTCATGGTTCGAAGGAAAACTCTGCATTCTTTTTATATCTTAGAAGGAAACCGATTCTTGGTATTGGGAACTTTATGTCATCGCGCAGGTTGTGGACTTCGGTGAAAGTGGTCCTGTCCGATGTTCTCGTTGTAAGGGCTACATAAACCCTTTCATGAAGTTTATTGATCAAGGGAGGAAGTTCATCTGTAACTTGTGTGGTAAATGTTACTGTTAGCGATAAGCTTAGATAACAAAGTCTTTGCTAAATGACTGTGCTAGCAGCTAACTTGAGTACCAACTTATCAAGTAACAAAATAACTTCGTATTTCTATATCAAAACTAGAGTTCCGGTGTTTTAGCTTTCTGAAATGCATGATTTGTTATGTGAATCCAAATTTCACCTTGAAAAGCTGTTCAGAATAGAGCTGCTGAAATGATTTTGTTTATAACTTTCTATTACGCCTAGATTTCTCTCGTCCTAATAAAAAAGTGAGATTCTGGCAACCTACAATTGATAAAAGGGTCTTGTATAGTCTATCCCTTTTATGAATTGAAAGCGTTTGAAAAGTAGGCTGTTTTAAGTTTAATTGAAGTTGAGGATTCTCTTAGGAATTGTATTAGTTCGACATGGTTTAGGTTTGGGACATTCCCTTTTCCTCGCCCTTTTCTTTACTCTTGAACTGATTATTCTCTCTCGAATCATGTGGAATGTGCTGTGGTCCGTCTTCTCAAGGTGTCTATTCTTCTCAGGATATACTGATGAGACTCCCCGTGACTACCACTGTAATCTGGGTCCCGATGGTAGACGTAGGGATGCTGATGAAAGGCCTGAGCTGTGTAGAGGAAGTGTTGAGTTTGTCGCTACAAAAGAATACATGGTTAGTAGCAAAATCTGCTTGTATATAAAAATTTCTGTTGCTTTCCTTAAAAAATTTCCAGTTTTGTTTTCTGATATTTTGTAGGACCTACTCATTGTCATACCTCTTACGGTTATTGATCCAGGGAACCAAAAATTTAGTTTTCCTCTTTAACTAATAAATAAGGATTTTCATGCAAGAGTGGGAGATTTTAATCATTAGATATGCTGAATACTTCACATTTTGTTACTAGAATTGGACATTTGTTGAAGAAGTGGTACATATGGTGAATCCTCATCCTTGGCATCTTAGTTTTTTGTGTTTCTAACTTAAAATAAGGTTTAGTCGAAGGATAGATAGATAGTTTGTGTTGAAGGAGTGATAGAATTAATATTTGTACTTTTCTAACAGGTACGGGATCCTATGCCAGCTGCGTATTTCTTCCTCATCGATGTCTCTATGAATGCGGTTCAAACAGGTGCAACTGCTGCTGCTTGCAATGCTATCCAGCAAGTCATTTCAGATCTCCCTGTAAGTCTTATTGCTGTTTCTGATATTGTTTAAGCAATACATATCGTTGTTGATGTGATATGACCAACATTATGTGCCCTGAGTTTACACTGTATAGTGTATATCCGTTATTCTTTTAGGCCAGACGGACTTTGTTCATTATTCATAGAAATGGGATTGTAGTTATTGAAAATCTCCAATATCTCTTATGTTAGCTTCTCACTTTATTATGTGCTCTCTTTACTGTATCACTCAAAATGTGTTTTTTGTTGCATGCTTGTTAGCTCATTTATTCTATGATTAACCTGACTGCTTTGTAAGCAATGGAGGTAATGGAGGATACTGTTCTTTTGCTTCTTATTTATTTTAATAATTACTCTTTTAACAATTATTTCTTCATTTTACAGGAAGGTCCTAGGACATTTGTTGGAATTGCAACATTTGACTCAACAATCCACTTCTTCAATTTGAAACGTGCACTGCAACAGGTAACTTCTTAACATTATTTATTCCCTTCTCTTGCTTTGGTCAAATACTGGATGGGGAAATGCTGGGGTTTGTTCTGTTAAGGTTTCCCTAATATAATTCTTCTAATGGTTCCATTTTGCTGCAAGGAATAATTCTGTCTAACTTAGCACCAGCCTGAATAGTTATGCTGCTTCAGTTGAAGGGTAGATATTAACCGAGTTTATTTGCATTTGAGAAATCATTTTATCTAAGTCACCGTATTACCAAAGCTATTGAATGTTGAGAGTTGAAAATGGATGACGCGTGCTGTTTCTTTTTGGGAAGTTTTGACAGTATGTAACCAATAGCTGTTGCTTGTATGCAGCCGTTGATGCTCATTGTTCCTGATGTTGAAGATGTTTATACCCCCCTAGAAACTGATGTTGTTGTTCCGCTTTCTGAGGTTAGTCGTGAGACCAATTAGAATCGGCTGCCTATTTAAGGAGACTGGTTGTCCAATTTTGAAACTCCTTTCTTTATGTTAATTTGCTCTTTTGGGAATACAGTGTCGTCAACATCTAGAGCTTTTACTAGAAAGCATCCCATCCATGTTTCAGGAGAGTAAGACTCCTGACTCAGCTTTTGGTGCAGCAGTTAAGGTATGTTATCACCCAATATGTATTACTCAGTCGTACAAGTGATCAATGGTAAAGTGGGATACTATTGATGATGTCTGGGCTTTGAAGAGTCCACCATTTAGTAAGGAATTTTGCTTCATGACATAAATGAAATCAGAAGTTAATCATTGTGGAGAAAGAAATGAAGGAATTGAAATGTTTGGGGCAATGTTCTCTTTGCTTATCTGCTCTCGTGTGATGACGGGTTTCTGGCATAGTGATGAAAGATTAGTTCTACCATTCTCATGTGTAGTTGACTCATGACTGATAATTTCTACTAGGCTGCTTTCTTGGCGATGAAGAGCACTGGAGGAAAACTTATGGTGTTTCAGTCAGGTAAACTTATGGTGTTTGTGGTCCATTTTAATGTGTAATTTTGTTTGCCAGTTAAATCAATTCAATGCCATGTGTGTATCCTAAGCATGCATATGCTTTTACTTCAGAAGAACCATTTCGCTCTTATTTTTCTTATCCTTCTATTTGGTGCCTGTATAACTAAACTGTATGTTTACCATCTTCACAGTTTTGCCTTCGGTTGGCGTGGGAGCGCTTTCTTCTAGAGAGGCTGAAGGGAGAGCTAATGTCTCAGCAGGTGAAAAGGTACACAGACAATCTGTTTCTACTTATGCGTTTTAACCTCTGACGAAGTGTCTACATTTCGTTGTGATCTACATTCCTTAATGTCTTATGTTTTCTCCTGAATTATTTCATATCAATTTGATTTTAGGAAGCCCATAAATTACTACAACCAGCAGACAAAACTCTAAGGACCATGGCTGTTGAATTTGCAGAATACCAGGTAGATCAAACAATTTGGTATTTGAAATTTAACAGATTGTGTTTCTTCTGTAATCTGCATTGCATCAGGTTCTTTCTGCTGCCCATCTAATGCATTCTCACATACCCCAGGTCTGTGTAGATTTATTTATTACCACTCAGACCTATGTTGACATCGCATCAATTTCAGTCATCCCGAGGACGACTGGAGGGCAGGTACTTGTCTGAATCTGATACTCTTTGCCCTTAATTCTGGTTGTTAAGTAGTATTTTACCTATATTGTGTCATTCCTTTCGATATGATTGATATATTTGATAGTTCAATATGAATTCTGTCTAACAAATTCACCCTCTCTCTATTTTTAGAAGCCCTCATCTTTAATTTGTTCATGGAAGCCCGTCTTAATTTTGCCCTCACATGTTATCAAGTGTAACTAAAGAGGCTCTATGAAACTTTTGCCTAGCTGATACATCTTTGTCAAGAATTTTTTTCTTTGGATGTTTTATATTGTCCTGTCTTGGATAGTTTCTAAAGGGTTTACATTTCATTTTAAAATTTGTTCCCTTCCAGGTTTATCACTATTACCCTTTTTCAGCTCTCTCTGATCCTCCTAAGCTTTACAACGATCTTAGATGGAATATCACTAGGCCCCAGGGTTTTGAGGCTGTAATGCGTGTCAGATGCAGCCAGGTAATGGTTTTATGGCAGAACTGATTGGTCATGCATTACCCTGTAAAGTTCAGGTTAGACTAGTGGTGAATTCCAGTGTTGCTAATATTTGTAGGGCATTCAAGTGCAAGAGTACTCGGGGAACTTCTGTAAACGCATTCCCACTGACATCGATCTACCTGCGGTGGGTGCATTCTCTTTAAAAACTCTCATTTGTTTTCTGGTAATTTTGTGTGTGTCTGTATTCCTTTCTTGTTAAAGTAATAGCATTCATTTTTATCTTGGTTTTGATTGTGAGTTATGGTTTTTGCTGTTCACTTCCTGGATTAGTAATAGTGAAAATTCAAACTAATTGATTTGTCATTGAATAGCATAAGTTTAGTCTGCAGGGAAAATCAGAATCTCTTTTTTGCAACCATGCATTATGGTGTAAACTGGCTTCATTGTTAACAAAACTTAAGTGCTGTGCAGATTGACTGTGACAAAGCTATAATGGTGACACTTAAGCATGATGATAAACTACAAGATGGTGCTGAATGTGCTTTCCAGGTATATTTGTTATTAGTCATATCAATCTACCATGTGAAGTAATTTTTAGTAGACCCAGCTTTGGTATCTCGTCTCAATTGGAAAAAAAAAAGACGCTTAAATTTGCTCTGTTGTTTTCCAGTGTGCCCTCCTTTACACTACCGTCTATGGAGAAAGAAGAATCAGAATCACTACCTTATCCCTCCCTTGTACTAACAATCTCAGCAACTTATTCCGCTCAGCTGACCTGGATTCTCAATTTGTCTGTATGTTAAAGCAAGGTCTGCTACTTTTTTTGTTGCACTGGTTTTGCTACTGACAATGTACTTGTTAATGCACACCTATATTACATTGGTTGTTTCTGTAACAGGATTTGGATAAAGTTATCGATTGATATGTCTATTACTCACATGTGGTTCTCTTTATGCAGCGTCTGGTGAAATCCCTTCTAAGGCACTTTCGTTAGTAAAGGAAGAGGCAATTAATGTTTGTGCCAACACACTCTATTCCTACCGTAAATTCTGTGCTACAGTTACCTCGTCTGGACAACTTATTCTTCCTGAGGCACTCAAGCTTTTGCCATTATATGTTCTAGGTATTTTCTAGTTACATTTATTCTTTTTAAGTGGAAATAAACTATACGATTGCAGGGTACAACTTTCTATGAGTTATAGCAAATTATTTGGCAATCTGATTCTATTTTACTTCTATTTGGGGGTGTTCTTTCAGCATTAACAAAAAGTGTGGGGTTACGGACGGATGGCAGAATTGATGATCGTTCATTCTGGATTAACTACGTTTCTCCCCTGTCTACTCCTCTGGCAATTCCACTGGTTTACCCCAGGATGATTTCCGTTCATGACCTTGATGCAAAGGTATCGATTTTTTTTAACCATCAGACGTCTCACATTCTGTTATGTATACTTTTGGAAATTTCTGAGGATTCTTGCTGTAATCTATCAGGATAATGAAGGATCTGTCCTTCCTCCTCCAATTCCATTGTCAAGTGAACACATTAGCAACGAAGGAGTCTATTTTCTTGAGAATGGTGATGATGGTTTACTATATGTTGGAGACTCGGTAAGCTCAGATATACTGCAGAAGCTCTTTGGTGTTCCGTCAGTCGCTGAAATTCATAGTCAGGTAATTTGATTCACTACTCGGTACTGGTGAAATTTTGTCAGCAGGAAAGTTCATCTGTAACTTGTGTGGTAAATGTTACTGTTAGCGATAAGATTAGATAACAAATTCTTTGACGTGAAGGGCTTC